AGGGCTGGCTCAATCTATTTGCCAGATGCTACTCGTAGCTCCATCTGGCTGTCAAAACGAACAGAGGCACAATAAGCTTTGCTTTTCAAGTGAAATTACAGCCAGTGAGCTCATGGATCTCATAAGAAAACCAGCCCATTAGGTTTTGAACTTTGGAAATAGTACTTTTGGGACGACAATCCATGGTGACTGGAAGATTCTGTGAGTTACAGTCCAAAAAAGGTAATATATCCTAGCTCTAGCCCCTTCATTTCATCTTGCTTCCCCTAGTATACATACCAGTTGATCCTGGATATGTCATTACTCAAGGAATATATTAGATAGCCAGATGCTGTTGCATAGAATATACTATCTCTTAACATACAAGTTCACATGATGCTCACTGATTTTTGCTACTTATGGATACCCAAGTAGTGGCAGTGAAGAGGAGCAGTTTTAACAAAGTTTGATTAATTTGCAAGACTGGAAAACAAAGCATGATCTGGTATACCTTTTATTCTTTTCCTTACCCTCACTCCCATTTTTCTTTTAAATAGGTAACACAGGTTCTCTCTCTATCTTTTATTTTATTGTTCTTATTTTCTATCTCCCTGATCTCCATCTCATAGCCTTTTCTATTTGTAAAGGTCCCACCATCATCCGTCTCTTTAGGATGACCCAGTTTGATTAATTCCCATAGGCATCCCCTTATTTCCACAAGCACTCTTCCTCTTCTGTTAGCTTCACTGGCAGCAGGCAAGATATCCTAACACCTGAACACTGGGAGCTTGAAATGTTAAGCTCAGTATTTTGATACAATGCCATCTTTACTGGGAGTATGTCTATTTCTGGCTCCAGTTTGGAGTTATGTAGCTCATGCTGTAAGCTCTAGCTCATTTTATCAGCCACACTTGCTTGCACATTGTACAGTGACAAAGTATAACACATATTACAGTAATTTAATCTAGATACTACTAAAACAAGAATAACTGTGACTGGGGCAGTTTTATCTAAGAAGGTGCACAGGGTAGATATTAGCCAAAAATGCTTCTAATCACTGCTTCTGGTCACTGCAGCAACCTGACCACCCAGGAGTGAGTATCAGAGCCAGCAGCAATGGCAAGGTGTAGACCTGGATCTTGAAGAGAGAGTTAACAGAATCAACTTAACTATTTCAATCTGATTTTAAAAACCTATTTAGATAGGTTACCCAGGGAATGAAGTATAAAGCAATCTTTTAACTATTTATTTATTTATTTATTTAATTTCAGGTTACCCAGAGAATAAAGTATAAAGCAAACTTTTAACTAGTAGAGAGCTTGATTTTCTAGCTTTGCCTTAGAGTATGGGAGTACAAATAGTGCCACTACCTTAATTTTAACTACCATGCATAACTGGATAGACAAGTCTAAGTACAGACCAGAAGCTTGCTTGCAAAGAAAACATACAGGTTGAAAGACAGACATTTAATTTCAGCATCCGTCAAAGAAACTCATACTGTTGAGTTAACTAATCTTGGACTTTGATGTGAACCAGGTTGGCTTTGAAGCGTCACCTAACTTCCTAAACCAAGATATAAAATGTCCCCCTTAGAATAAAAATACAGGTTGCAATTCTACAGCATCCATTAGTAAATTAATACACAAACTAGGACTGCTCCTAGAAAAGAATTAGTAATTGACCACATCTAAGTCAGAAGCTTGGCTCTACAAATATGCAAGAACCCTGGGCCACAAAGGTGAGGATGATGCTGCCTAAAAAGTAAATACTTATATACCTGAACACTCACCAGAACAACCCGGTGAGACAGGTTAGACTGAATAACAAAGGCTGGCTCAAAGTTACCCAGAGAGCTTCATGAATAAGTGGGAATTTGAATCTGGGTCCCTCCAGCCCGTTTCCTACTTTCATCTACTACACACAGGGTGTGACATAAGATAATACACAAGAACTGCCTGTGGCTCATGACCTCAAATATGCATGAGTGAAAATCCGTTTGCCTCTAATATATCATGCAAAGCAGCTCTGGTTTTAGTTATTAAAAATATTTATAGACTGCTTTTCAACATGAAAAGTTTCATAGAAATAGTGGAGCAAACACAGCAAGAAAATGTAAAAAAAAAAACCCACCTAAACACAGGGAATTAAAGACACACAGAAAACAGCAAATATAAGAACAGTATTTAGACACTAAATAACACCTGCAAAAGCCAGAAGAACCTTTAGAATCATTAACAGTGTCCCATCTAGTGGATTCCCAGCGTGGTGTAGGGGATAGAGTGACAGACTAGAACTCTGGAGAACAGGGTTCATAATCCCCACTCAGCCATGGAAACTGACTGGGGTGGTGGAACTGGTAAATCGATTCCTTAAAATATCTCACTTACTTTGAAAGTTCTGTTAGGGTTGCTATAAGTCAGTTCCAACTTGACAGTCAGAACACACATCTAATGAAACGGTCTTATCCTCTCCAAGAGGTTACGTGTAGGCATTTTCCTATAGCTATCATAGAAGAACATTGCAGAAATATGGTGCCACCAACTCTAACCATCTAACACAGTTGAGGAAGCCTCCAGAGAAGAGCCTCCAAGGAAAACGTTAAATCGGAGTCATTTCACGGAGAGCCAACAGTTTACGTATTCTTCAGTCGAGTTTGGAAATATACTGAAGACCAACTTAGATCTTTGGAAATCTAAGTATTCTATGGTCAGAACTATGAGAACTATGGTCAGAACCTGTCGCCAGACAGACAGCCTTGTTCTACACTATTTTCAAGGGCAGTTTAATGTGTAATACGTACATTATTACACTAATCTAAATGGTATGCTAGTATGTAACAGTTTTAAGAAGAGCATTGCAAGCAGGCAGCCTTGTTCTACACTGTTTTCAAGGGCAGTTTAATGTGTAATATATTATTACACTAATCTAAATGGTATGCTACTATGTAACAGTTTTAAGAAGAGCATTGCAAAGCATTGTCCCTGGATCAGAACAGAGGTGAGTCAATAAAGCCCAGCATCCTGTTTCCAATAGTGGCTAAACAGATAGATATACCTAAGAAGCTCACAAGTCGGGAAGGCGCGAACAAACTCGATAAAGCCCAATAGTAGCTAAGCAGATATACCTAAAAAGCTCACAAGTCGGGAAGGCGCGAACAAACAATGTGCTTCCATTTTTTCTTTTGGTGCACAGCCTGCACCTTACGTACAACCAGAGCTTGGAAAGCAATAACTTTCTGGATTGCAGGTTCCAGAATCTCCCAGCCACTATGGCCACTATGCGTAGGGAACAATTGGAGCCATAGTCCAAAAGAGGGGGGGAGGACTGTGTCAGTTTTTCTCTTACATGACTGGACACAGAACTAAACTCAAGCAGTGTTAAGGTGACTTTCTCACAGGCTGGTAACACTTTTCCCTCCAGCACCTCTTTTTTTCCTTGTGTTTGTTTCAGTCAGAAGCAATATGCACAAACCATAAATTCTGTCTACAGCTACAAGCAGATTGCCGTGTTTTAACACTGTGCTGCATGCTATTTGGGCACATCCAGGTTATACACTGCACCTAATAGTGATCTCCAAGCAGATATTGCCCAAAGACGGATATGTCCATTTTACAAACAACTCAAACAGACATCTGAATTCTTAACCTTTGTATTTGACATCCTTTCCTTGTTTAAAATACTGCTTTAACATTCTGCCTAAGGTCAGTCCTCTTCCCAAAGAAACACAAAAACAAATTTTGTAGTCAAGTAAATTTTGCATACAGGTGCTGTTACCAGTGCACAGAGTCTTCAACCACCCACCCACCCACCAAGGTGCAACTATTTGATGAAGGTAAGATACAATATCTGAATTGCAATGACATGTTGTGTAGTCCTGGGGAGACTCTGTACATTAGGAGGATCTAAGTAAAGAGATCAGAAGGGATTTAGCAATATGGAGTAAACAGGATTGTAGTTACACAGTGCAACAAGCTGTATCTCAAAACAAGATAGAGATTTGTGGGCTTAGCGGCTGTTTCCACTAGCCACACCACAGAGTCAAAATTTTAGATATTTTGGAAGAAAATGGTATTATGCTATGGCCCAGACAATCAGCACTAGCAATAGTACAGCAAGATAATAACACAGAAGAAGTTTGTCTTGGGAAAGAAACCAAGTTCCACTGGAGTGCTGCGAAACAGAACACACATGCCTAACATTCTACTTATTCTTACTCTAAGCCCGTTTAGAGTTCACTTGGAGTTCATAACCTCAAAGGGAAACAGCAGAACATGGCACACCATAAAAAGCATCAGTCATGCTCTCCCAAGCCAGACACACAAGATCACAACTGGAAGCCAAAGGCAACGCCTAATTTTTTTAAAAATCCAAAAATATTCATGAAAGAAAGAGGAAGAGGTTCTTTAATGGATATTAGTTTCCAGACTCTTCAAAACTCAAACATCTTTGGTAGTTATACACTGCCTGCCTACTATTAGATCAGGAACGCAGAACAGAGCTCACTTGGGCTGTACTGGGTTTTTAAAAAGATCTCATCCTCCACTGATTACATTATTTTCGTAGTTTAACTATGAAACATAAATCATGCCATACTCATTTGCCAGAATCTCAGGCATGGCATTTATCAACCAGAGCTCAAAGGAGATCTAGTTTCCTCATATTCCTACCCTCCTCTCTTGAGGTAAGAGCAGCAGGCCCTTAATATCTTCATAGCTACCGCTTCAGAAGGAAACAAGCAAACATTATTTGTACACCATGCTGAATGAAAAACAAGTAAATAACTGATAGGCTTAATGAAGAACAAATAATTCTTTGTTTCCATTTGCTAACTATGCATAAATCTCTCATAAACTCTGAGTGGCATCAGAAAGTCCTGCTAACGTTCTACCCCACTATGTCTACTGCCAGCAGCTATCTGGAAGTGGCCCAGAGCTTTGATGTCAAAACAAAAGTGCATTATTTCACACAACTCTGCAGGATTAAACATTCTGATTTATCAGAATCAGGAAATACATCCTTACTTGAATTGATGGTGTTCCCTGGAGCTGCGAATCTTGGATGAAAATCTTTCCGCTAGTTTTTCCAGATTTCTGGAGTATTCCAGTTCAATCTCAGCTTTTCTGCGGAAGAACTCCTGGAGGTCCTGCAGGAGCTGCAACCGGGATTCAGACTGTTGTTCTAAGCATTTGAACTGCTCCACCAACTGGGTACGAATTTCTGGATGCACAAACCAGAAATAAAATGATACTGTTAACAAATTGGACCAGTACCTGAAAACTGACTTGCAAAATCCTCTCGCATTAGCAGGACTATAGTGAGCATATCTAGATCAGCATGAATTAACAAGATGTTTAAACAGACTAACTTCACTTAACTACAGAAATACACAATCAGACTGACTTCAAATCATTGAACACTGACATGTCGTTGAAGTGGGACAATCTTCTGTTGTCTATCCTCTTGGAGAGAAATGAAAAATGTTGAAGTCAACATGCAATGAAGTCAACAAGAGCTGTTGTAAAAACCATACTTTTGTAATCTGTCCTCTACCAGTAGTGCTATCAATTGCTCCTTCAGAAGACAACTAGGCATGTGGGAAGACAGGAAAACACACACACCCCAGTGCTTGTGCCACTGCTCTCCCACAATCACATTAACCTACTCATTCAAACCTGCTGCTGGGCTCAAGCATGTGTAGAAACACAGGTCCTTGAAGTCAAAGGCTGGTTTTCGTGATTTACTTGCATGGCCATGTATATGCATGAGCACACACACACACACACACACACACGCTTGCATTCCACATGCAGGGGGAAAATATAATAATAATTAGGGAAGAACCGTACTGTATATGCATGAGCACGCACACACACACATGCTTGCATTCCACATGCAGAGGGAAAATATAATAATAATTAGGGAAGAACAAAAGAGGGTTGTTCTATTGGAACTGTAGGCAGATAAACGCAAACATCCTAAACTCTTCACCTTTTAGGTCAGGTCTACAGAATGGTTAGGTTTTATCCAACAATGCCACAATCTGCATATGTATGCTTGTGCCTCTATAATACAGGCCAATGGCTATGATGACACATCTGACCACTATGGATGCAACATATCTGTCTCACCATTCATTGCCTTCCACTGCAGAGAGAGAGACAGAGATTTGGTTGGGCCACTGATTACAGTCTGCAGTTTTTTCCCTCATAGATCATGTTCTTTATGCTGCTGTTTAGGCTTCAACATTTTCTTCCCCACCTTAACACTGCTCTTTCTTTGGAGGGCGGGTAAGAAGTCATGCAGGTTGCCCAGCCTGTTTTAATTCCAGTAGCATCCCATATAGGTCTCATCTCTGGGAATGTGATACAACTGATACAGCAGTTCTTGAAATCAGACTGTTTGGAAGTTGCCACTGAATCAGCAGCATTATATGAAAATGTGTTTAGGGGAGCTGAGAAACTGTATTAATATCCCAATTCACATTTTCTAACTCACTTCAAGGTGAAAAAATTAAACTGAAATGCCTACAAGGCCCACTGTCAGGGCTATATGAATAGGGAATGAACACAACACTATTTTCATTTCATTTGTATTTCTTGTTCACATAATACTCGCTAAAATAAATCTAGAATCACCAATTTCATAGATTATAGACTGACTCCATGCACACAATGGTGTCTTTTTGGGGGGCCTATTTGAATAAATGTGTTCTTCACCATGGAGATATTTATCAAGATCTAGCTGTATTCAGTAATATCTGTCATTTTACTATGCCCTCTATAGCAAATCAAGCTGTCTTCATGATATATCACCTTGCACATCAAGAAAAGAGGTTTCCCATTGATGTTTATCTTTCACTGGGAAATAGCAACAGATCTCCCCCTCCACTGCTCTCCCTTCTGAGCCTCTTAAATAATGTAACAGGGGCCACAAACCTCTGAACATAGGATTGATTCTTGGAAGCCCAATAATCAGAAATGGAAAATTAAAAATAAACTCTGTCTCTTAGCCTCTGGCTAAGAGCAATACCTGTTTCTGTTGTTGGGTGGGGTAATTCAGCAACAATAACAAAAATAACACCTTTTCTATGTCTCAAATACATTGATATTTATCTGAATGAATAGATGAAGGAACTCTTTTTTTCATTTGAGACACTTCTGCATGGAAAAGATTTTTGCCCCAAGAGAGAGCTAATATAGACGTAAAAATGGAGGAATCAAGGTGACAAGTCCTGCCTCTGAACATGCACCATAGAAGAATCCCAGTCTCCTTAAGATCACCAGCACTGAAAAACACCTGTTTTCTTTATTCTTCCAAAATTTCATACATAACCACTGATGTGAAGATTGCTGTAAATAATGCTGTCTAATCCTAACTCATCCCACCTCTAGACAGTCACCAAAATCCTGTGGGCAGAACTACATCTGCAGAAGGCTGATGACATTATATACAGGGGATTCCAAAATTAAATACTGTACTTTATTCTTCTGTTCCACCATTCCCACAGCTTCAACATAATGACACAGGGGATTCCAAAATTAAATACTTTATTCTTCTGTTCCACCATTCCCACAGCTTCAACATAATGAAACAGATAATGCAGGAGCCATGGGACCAAAGTAGGAAGTGTTCAATTAAAAAAACCTCAGCCCTTGCTGATGATGTCATTAGCCTTCTGCATGCCAACAGGATTTCAGCCAGTGACTTTTCAAGGTCTCAGGCACTCTAAAGAGCCTTTAGGCATAGATGCCAGGGTTTGGTACTAGAGGCTTCTTGCATATGTGGGAAGAAGGACCTGGGATTGCCTCCGTCCCCAGGGACCTGCTCACAGACCTGGACCTTCTTCAAACACCCTCTCTTAACTCCTTTTTGATTCTTCGTTTAGGCAAATAACAATTGAAGAGATGACAGCCAGGATCTTATAATTTACTTCTAGCCAGTTAACTCCTTTGGAGAATATGTCAGCAGCAAAGTGTCGTAAGTTAAGAAGCCAGTATTGACATGGCTCAGTGTTTCTATGCCAACTTCTTAACTTGCAGCAATTCCTAAACATTTCATCAATGGCATTTTGCAGGCAGAAATACATGATAGCATTCCAAACAACTTGTCCTAGCATACCATCTCAATAAATTCAACTATTTTTTATTGTTTTACTTTGAGCAGTTTTTGTTACTGCTAAAAAAAACACATACACATATAACATTTCCAGTCTCTATTTCTTCATTTATTAAGAAATAGATTGGGTGCTTTGTAAAGTGGAAGGTGACAGATAACTATTTTAAAATAAATAAAGCCCAAGTAACTCTCTCTCCCAGATAACCAGCCATGAAAATGGATCACTGTACCTGCTACCAGAACCAGTCTGGACTGCAACAACATCCAAAGCCAAAACAGAGAAACTGGGGCGGGATACTTTTTTCATCTACGTCACAACATCCACCATCAAAAACTATTGGTCTGCATCTCAGATGAGAATGGTTAGGTTTGCTGATTTCATTAAGCATAACTTTTTTTATTTTACTTTACTTTATCAAATGGTAAAATCCTGCTAATTTATTTCTTTTCAAATGGAAGTGTTTTAGCTTAACATCTTCTGACTGTTATTTCCTTGCCTAGTTATGAAAAATTTAAAAAATATAACCTGGATATTCCTTCTATAGTAGTGCATGATACAACCATGACAGTTCTGTATAGTATTGCCTCACATATACATTAGGGCACAAATTAATAATAATTGTATGTCATCTAGCTATAGAGTACTCAGATGTGGCTCAGTATTCCCTCCATCTGTGGCCACCTGGGGACTGCGCAGCTAGCCCAAAGCTACTTCTCTTGGAAGGCACAATGAGGAATCAAATCCTAACTTCTGAGCGATGAAGCCAGCTAGGTCATTAAAAGAAAGTGAAAACAGTGGTTTGAATAACAGTTTTTGTGAATGATCTTATTTTTACAAAGAAAATGAAAAAGAAACCAGTCATATAAAAGTTTGAACTGGTATTTTAGGATTCACGTTTTACTGATTTGCACACGCTGGTGACTTTATATTTTGAAAAAGTCTGCTAAAATCTCTGCTTTGGGGGGGGAAGGGCAGGAAATATTTATCATTGCTTCTCCAATAGAATGAGTTACCAAAGGAATGCTCCACCTACTTTGTAAAAATGCACATTTCTCTAGCAACTCAACTGCTGTTCACAATATAATGGCAGCCCCTAGTGAGTGGAATTCCAAAAATACAAAAAGTTTAAAAACACTGTAAACAAGGTTTAGGGGGTTATGAAATAATAGTCAATGTCTTTTCACGGTTCAGAGAGAGAGAGAGAGAGAAACGTAAACACCATGTAACAAAAAGGCTGATTTACAGCTAGGTGAACCAGCTGATAAGTGGTCTGTGCCCATTCATTACAATCCTAGATATACTGTCAATACAAACTATTCAGGTTCTGGCATTAACCAAGTGGAGGTGTTTATGAGAAACAGTCAGCCATCTCCGGGGTTCCTTCATGCTTCTTCTTTCTCCTTGCAGGACAATACAAAAGCTGTTAAATGATGAAGGAACCTGAAATACAAGGGTGTATCCAGTGACAGATTTCTGATTGTGCAAGAAGGGAATCCAATGGGATCCAGTGCAGCCAACACTTTGCCCCAGATGCTGAAACCTAATCCAACTGAGACAGAGGTGCTCCTGGTCAATCAAAAAAAAAAAAAAACAGATCAAGGAACAGGGATGCAATCTGTGCTGAACAAGGTTACACTCTCTCTGAAAACACAGGTGCTCAGCTTGGGGATGCGCTTGGATTTACACCTCAGCTTGGATACCCAGGTTTTAGCAGTGTCCAGGAATGCCTTTGCACAATTAAAACTAGTGTGCCAGCCGCACCCGTTTCTTCAGAGTGCTGATCTGGCCACATGCCCTAGTTACATCTTAGATGGACTACTGTAACACACTCTACATAGAGCTACCTTTGGAAAATATTCTGAAACTCCAGTAGATCCAAAATGTCGCAGTCAGATGGCTAGCTAGGGCTGGTTAAGGTAAAGGTAAAGGTAAAGGTTCCCCTTGACAATTTTTGTCCAGTCGTGTTCGACTCTAGGGGGCGGTGCTCATCCCCGTTTCCAAGCCATAGAGCCAGCGTTTTGTCCGAAGACAATCTTCCGTGGTCACATGGCCAGTGCGACTTAGACACGGAACGCTGTTACCTTCCCACCGAGGTGGTCCT